TGTGTCTCTCTGTGTCATAGATGAAAAGCACCAGTTATAGACACTGTGTTACACGGTGTCGCCTGTGTACGTTATTTGGGAAAAAGCACCCCAAAAATTACACTCTCAAACATGGCGATCGCTCACTGTGAACGGCTTAGCGAGCGTTCGCATCCAGTGTATAAATCTAGAGAGCGTAGTTAGCGGCTACTGAGCGCTCACTGTGCGGTTGCGCTTCTGGATTCACCCATTGTAACACTACAAATCCTTCGAAGCGTTTGATTATCCAATAAAAACAACGAATTTTACTAATGCACCAATCAAAAAATGCTTTGAATCATTTGCAGTAAGTTCCTTAACCGTGTATGCGTATACTGTAATCAAGTGCTGCAAAGAGGTTAGGAAGAGTATAATCGGAGAAAATTTCATATAGCAATGTATATATAACTATAAACCTTGATCAGCGCTTGAAAAGTTTACGTTACGAAAAGTTCCGTTCGAAAATTTATTTTTTATAAGATGGTAAGTTCGCAAATTTTCTTTATTGTAAGTTTGTCATATCACAACTCTCATTTTTTCTTTTTCTATTTTGTTTTTTTAGTATTCTTTAATTCATAAAACAGAAAATGCTCACGAGGATAGTATATGGACTTGTAGTTGGGGCTGTCCAAAAAAAAGAGAGATATCCAACCAGATAATGAAGACTCGAGGTAATTAAAAAGTGGTCTTAATTTGTAATTAATAAAAGATATAAATATATTTAATTATTATGTTATATTCGACAGAGACTCTATGCGCTCTAATGAAGATGAGATAGCAGAATATCTAGTAACAGCTTCTGTAGATGATTCTGTGAAAGTATGGGAATTGAGAGATGGTGCATTAAAGTTCAAACATAAATTAACTGGACATTCTTTGGGTGTAGTCTCTGTAGCTGTCAGCTCAGATGGATTAAGTAAATGAATAGAAATATTTGCTTGATACATTAGTTTGGATTCATTTTTTTATCATTGAACGATTTGTAGAATGTGCTTCTAGTTCACTCGACTCAAGTCTGAAATTGTGGGATTTACAATCTGGTGACAAATTATTGAGTACTGAAGTTGGTCCTGTAGACATTTGGACTTTAGTTTTTTCTCCTGATGATAAATTCATTGTGTCTGGTAGTCACGCTGGTAAAATACATTTATATGGGACTGATAGTGGCAAACAAGAACAAACGCTGGATACAAGAGGTGGAAAGTTTACATTGAGTGTCGCCTATGTAAGTGGATTGTACAAAAGTTCATATGTATAACTTGCATATAAGAAACTGTATTTCAGAGTCCCGATGGTAAATATATTGCAAGTGGTGCAATAGATGGGATTATTAATATCTTTGATGTTGCTTATGGAAAAGTTTTGCGTACATTGGAAGGTAAATTTAAATGTACTGCAGATTGTTATCAAGATAGAATATTGTATCATTAAATTTTTATTAATTAGGTCACGCGATGCCTATCAGGTCTTTATGTTTCTCACCAGATTCTCAGTTACTTCTTACAGCATCTGATGATGGACATATGAAGTTATATGATGTGTGAGTAAATTAGAAGTTTAAAAATTCATACATATACTTCTTTTATTTTAATAATGTTATGGAAATCAAGCCATATTACAATTGTAATTTTTATGTAAAAGGATTAAATATTTTGCTAAGTCTCTATTTAAAAACAAGCTTTATTTTAAAATTTATTTTTACTGCTGTTACTATTATTATAAAATTTTTTGTCACTCATAGAAAGATACTCCAATTTGTTATCTCAATCAGTTATTTGAAGATTAAATTCAGATTTTGAATATTTGGTTTTTATCATAATGAAACATTTTCACATTCAAAACTACTAAATTCATATTGAATAAGAACTTTAGAAATTCCTTTCATTTTTCATTTTTTGTTTGACAAGTGATTACTTTAGCTATACATAGTTTTTATAAATATATATACTAATTTTATTAGAAATAAATTTATATTAATTTTATATATTCTTTTTTATTTTCAGTAAAGATGCAAATTTAGCAGGTACAATGTCAGGTCATGCTTCTTGGGTACTTGGCGTAGCTTTCTCACCAGATGGACAGCAATTTGCATCAAGCAGTTCTGATCATACAGTTAAAATCTGGGAATTAGCACAAAGACAGTGTCTGCATACATTTAATGAACATAAGGATCAGGTATGTTTCTTAAACTTGAGATAACTTTCATTATTTAATTGATTCAAGATTTTAATAAATGCTGTTTTTATAATAGGTATGGTCAGTAAGATATAATCCACAGCGAAATAACATAATTGCCTCAGTGTCTGAGGATAAATCTATTAATTTATATGAATGTCCAATATATGATAAGTAATTACACCAAGGATTAATAAATATTTTGTATTCGCTACATCATTTAATCTGTTTATTAATTGCAAATCGGTCGATGACCTTCCTTTCGAGTTTAAATTACGACAAAAAAGAGGGAATATTCTTAGCTATAAATTTTATTGTACTGCAAGTAATAATGTACAAACTATAAAGATATCTGATGAATTTAAAGCGCGATATGTAACCAAAATATTCTTAAAATCTAGAGCGGAGTGACAATGATGTTACAAAAAAGAAATAATTACAAAAATAATCATGGTGTACAGATCAAATATTTTTTTTTAAGGAAATAACACAAAGGTACCCTGATGATTCCAAGTTGGCGAAGTTAAATCTAATTAACTCGAACTGGAACAGGGTAAAATCTCTTACAGATGTAACAGACTTTTCAATTAAACTAAATATAATAAAATCTAGCTCATGTGCCAAACGATCTCCTTCCGATGGGAGTTAATGACGATCCGATATCCATAGAAGGAAGATTGACATGATAAAAAATAAAATTAAGAATAAAATTAAAAAAAGAAAATTAAAAATATAGAATTAAAGATATTTAAAAATCTATAGTTGCGTCATAGTCTTGAATGAAAAACAATAATATTAAATAATAATTAGTATATAACATTCTGAGCTATATCTGATCTGTACATCGCTTTAATAATATATTTACTTCCAAAAAGAATTGATTTTGATAGATAATGCTTATAAACGAAACAAGTATTCATAATATATGTAATATGTAATGAAAATAGATAATATATTGTTTGTAGACTAGAAACTTAAGGTAATGTTTATAAAATTTTTGCCCCGTTTATTATAATGCCATTTTATGCGAACTCTACTTAGACCGCTCTACGTTCACAGTCGATACAAACGATACTACCTCATTACGATTAACTTTCGATCGAAGACGCTCGAGCTTATTCCAGATCTTCATCGCCTTACTTATCAGTCTTCAAAAAGTAATTAGACTTTGTATCTGTTTGTGAAAGATGGTATGAATTGGTTAATAGGATGGAAATAAAATATAGATTGCCTCGTCTCTTCGATTTATCATCTCAAAATACGAAGATGTACAGCAATGGATCACCAACGCATTGTGCTACACATCGTACGTAAGTTTAAATATGTGCTACTAAGACTTTCTACATCTTTCATTCATATCGTATTGTATATATATATATACAAAATTGAATAAATAATCGATTAGAATCACCGCAATGCACTATGGATTTTGGACTGATTCTCTCTCTTCTTTCAAACTCGGAATTATTCTATATCATCATGTATATATACACGGACAAAACGGACAGGAATGGTCTTAAGATTTCCTGCTAACATTTCACACAATTCTGCCCTTACTAAAGAAGTTGACATCGCGATGCGTATTGCGACGATATGGATAGTACTATAACTATTTCCTGGATAAAATGTTGAAGGACCTACACGCACTCCACAACGTGTACGCGACGAGACGACGAGAAATGATTAAAGTTATCTACTCGTAATGCATATCACATGTGACGAATGTGTGTGGACGAACATATATAGCAAGCGAATATACACAATGACTAGCCTGGAACGAAGAGGAGGCGATTATTACAGAACTTATTTACGCTTTATTTGTGGGAAATGTCGTCCCTCTATACCGTCGTCACCCGGGTGGACCCTGTGACTACCTCCGCTTGAACATCCGCCACCTCAAATTTACCCTGACCCTCTGACCTAGTTTTAGTCATCTGCGATGGAATGTCTGGCTTCGGATTGTAGTTAAAGGGCGGTACGATCGCTGAAGCTGGCGTTCGTACACCATTACTGCTGTTTTCCGTTGTTGCCGTCGTCGGATCCACACGGATGAAGGAACCGAGTCTGGATATCCTCTTGGTAAGGTCCGTTTCTGTCGCGAAATCGGCGTTCGGTTGTTTTCTCATGGTCACCAGAATGTTACCCAGTTGCGTGGTTTCCCGTTTGTACGTTTCGGAAGATTTAACAGGGATCTTACAGGGCGCTTCGTGAGCGTTCATGCCCGTCAAGTCACAAGAATTCCTGTACTTGACGCCGGCGGGTCCAACTTGCGTGCCCAAAACCGACGGTCGATTGGGTTTAGACTTGTAGGACGACGCCTCACCATCGCTGCTGTCCTCCTGGGAAATCCCCTCGAACGTGGAACTACGATATAATCTGTATGCCGGTGGATTGTTGATGGCAGCCGCAGTGTCTACCTCGGTGGCACTATTGGCTGGCCTTATCCATTGTCTGGTATCTGGCTTCTCAAAACGCTGCTTGTTCTTATTTTCTTCGACTTTCTTCCAAAGACTCGCAATCTTGCTTGTCGCCTCCTTCGCCAACTTACGATTTTGTACGCTTATAGACGAATTAGAAACTATACTGGAATTACTATTAGATCGTTGCCCCAATGGTTCAATCTTCCGAATGGTTTTGTCATTTTGGGATACGTTACCGTTGAGGATTTTTGTTGACGCGCTTATTTTTCCAGATGATACTTTCTTCGCCATTAATAATCCTTTAGCTGATTGCACCTTTTCGGAACTGTTGGCCATTGTCATTTTTGGTTGATACGCTTGATGCGTTTTCACAGATATCTTGGATTTTCCTACTGCCGGATATATCTTCGATGAAGCGCCTCTGATCGGTTTGGCAATCTTCGTTTTTATCGGAGAAGCGGATGTGGAATGCACTGTTGGCGCATTCTCCACTTCTGGCTCGTCTTTTGTAAAGGTGCCTTGACGTTCTAATGGCTTGATTGAGACCTCCGGCGGTTTGCTATCGCTCTGATAGTTCGAAGAGCAAGCTGGAGGTGTACTGTGACGTTTAATGGATTTCGTGAACGTCAACGAGGATCCTTTTTGAGGTACAGAGGCTCTTTTAGACATGGCCGCTAGATTTCGTGTCTTTTTCTCTGTATCTGCGGAAGACGGAGTTTTCTTTGGACTCGTATTAGATTTTGGAGAATCTTTTGCGGCAGCGGTCGAACTATTGTTGTTCTGTCGCAAAGTGGTAGCTCTAGTAGCTCTAACAATGGGTGAGGTATTGCTGCGACCTATCGGTATTCCGCTAACAGGATTCACTTGCTTCAACGGAGAGGATTGCGGAGTCGTTTTTCGCGTTATTGGGTTGGAATAAAGCGCCTTCCTTCGTCCTCGTATGGCTTTTGGACTTTCCGGCTCGGATTTATCTGTCCCATTGGAATCCGCACTCGGGTCTCGACCTGGCACTCTCGGCTTGATTATTCGTGGCCTTTTTGTCTCTCTCAATTCCTGTTCCTCATCAGCGCAGTTGAATTCCTCATCACTGCCAGAATCAATTGGTTCTGCCGAGCCCGAATCATCGTGAGCGACTTCTACATGCTCAGCTTCTAATTCCTCATTATCAATGTTCGTGGAAGTTTGAACATCATTAGCATGCTGTGTACCCATGAGTTTTTTCGAAAGTCCATTTACGAAACGCATTCTTAGATTGCGATCTGATTCAGGATTATTCGTCAAAGTGACAGTTTTGCAATGCAGATTATCATCTCCGATAGAATCATTAACTCTACTTGATTCATTCAGAGTGTTCAGCACTATAGTGGCATTTTGCTCTAGCATAGTTTGAATCTCCTCTCGCACATATCCTTGCGCATTTGCTTGTCCTTCTTCAGTCGCAATATTTGAGATAGGATTGCATTCAATCTCTTTAAACATAGATTCTGAGTCGTTCAACGTTCTTGTGCGATATCTTTCTTTGTTTTCCTGCGAATCTCCACGTTTCCTTCTTAGTGCCTTGCACACGGGCAACTTTGTGAGCGTAGGGATCGAGGATTTGACGGGGGATATAACTTCTTGTTTTTCGACGGAATCTTCAATGGGAATATGTGCTGCTTTCTCCTTAGCTTGGGCTACGTTTAGATCTGGAAAGGGATTCTCTAATACTTGTGTCTGAAATCTTGCTCTATTCTCTTGTCTGCGTTGCTTTGGTGTCAGTTTTGAAAAGGGAGAACACTTTCGAGGGATTTTATCGTCCGCGCCATCGGTTGTGCCATCTTGCCTGCGACGTTCCTCTTCTTCTTTTTTAACGATCTCTGCGGCAATGGTATACGTTTTGTATCTTTCTTTCGCCAAATTTCGCTTTTGTTTCGGAGTCAAGTGGTTTCTCGAATGTGATCGTTTCTTCGGCGTTGATTCTGCCGAACTGCTGACGCAGTACTCGGATGAGATTGGCGTGGCCGCCTCGTCGGTGTCATTCTCTACCTCGTCAATCACCTCTGCTACGATTGAGTGTATCGCTTCATCGGTGTGCAGTTCCGTATCTATGCACAGCGTATCACTACACATAGTATCAGTAGTCGCCTCCATTGTGGACTCGTCCATTTCAGTCACCTCGTTAAATAAGGACGGCGGATTGATGTTCTCTAAGCATTCACTAAGACTATTGCTTGCGCTGCTCTGCATACCTTCGACATAACGCATGCATGTCATGGACAATACGTTAGCAACCGGTTTTAACATCTCAAATACCGCCGGGTCACTGCCGGTTAAACTGTGCGAATCCTGTTCCTTCGAATCTGCAATTTCCGATGTGATGCTAGCCACACTTAACATACTATTCTCCATATCACCCACGTCTGGCAGTTCATCCATCATGGACGGTGGCTTAACATTTTCCAAATGCGAGCTGGTGCACTCGTTCAACAGATTTTCCAAGCTAGTTGTGTGGCTCTGACTTTGACCCAATGCTCGCTTGGCCACTACGCCGACCGGCAAAGATTTCTTCCGTACGTTGCGAGAATCATTGGAACTTTTCATTGACGCTGGTGGCAGCGATGTAGAGTAACATCTATCTCGATTGATGAATGTCTCGGTGTTATCAGCAGTACCGGCATAGCTTGCTGTCAATGAGAGTAAACTTCCCATCGAGGATGGCGGTTTGATCGCCTCGAGATCGATAGACGTCAAACTTGTTGTTTCAAGTTCGTTCTGATTATTCGCTTCCGCGTCTACCGCTTCCGCCAGCTTGATAGCTTCGCGCTGAATAATCTTCGATTCTGTCATGTTGACGGGTTCATTGTTCTCTGACATAGTGATGCGTTGATCTTCTTGCGCATCACTATTAAACGAAGCAACTAGTGGTGCGCTTATGCTGATACTGGGAAAAGAAACATCATTGGGTGAATCCTCATTCCACGTGTCACATGTCAAGCTTTGCTTCATGCCGGAGTCTCGTTCGCGTATCGCTTCAGTTTGCTGAACCAATGTTGCCGTAAGTCGATCTAACGAAGCAATCATAGCATCAGGGTCTCTCTGTCGTCTATACGTCTCTTCTTTCATATCTTTTTCCGCGCTGTCACGATGCAGAACATCCGAGGTTCTCACAATTTCGAAAGTCACTTCTGGCTTTCCGCTCATGTTGCCATCAATCTCAGATATTTCTTCGTTATTTCTTTCTTTTATGAAATCTATTTGTTTATTGTATAGCTCTAACTGCGACTTAACGTAGTCTGCGTTACTTTGATTAAAAGCGATGTTGCCTTCGGATTTTATACCAGATTGAATACATAGTTCAAGAAGTGCATGTTCGGATTGTTCGACAGAATCGATTGACTCACTACTTTCAGAATCTTTTGTGAATGATTGCTTCATAGATGGAATGTCTGTGAGCTGATCATCAATTATTGCTTCTGTTTCAATGAAACTTTTTCGATCCGCGCCGCTTTCATCATTTGCTACAAAATCATTGGAAATGTTCTTATCTAATGCATCAAATTTTTGTAATACAAATACTGCTTCTTCTGAGAAATTATTGCCGAGACCATTATTTACTGTTTTCATAGTTGAAATATTATTTGACTTCTCACTATGTGTGTATTCGTCTTTCATATTTATTGTTTCCTGTAAAAAATATATCATGTTTTAGAATACAATTAAAATACAATCGTTATAAAATCAATATAAAAAGTCAGTTTAAAATATTCTTACTGTTGCTTCAAGTTGGATATTTTTCTTAGAAAGATTTTCATTATCATTTTTTTCGTCTGCTCTAATCTTCTCCATCGAAATATTCTCAGTTCCACGAGACTCTGCATATTTTATATTAAATAATAAACTATCGGGTATTACAGTTCCATTATGCTCGACCTGATCCAAGGCAAGACTAGTTTGATATCGAGTTAGATTACCTTCTGCTCGAGGAAGTTTTTCAAGATTATTTCCTATAAAGGAATGCCTGTGTCTACAAAATAAAAGAACTCCATCAAAATTTGAACAGAGATTCACATAATTTCCATCATTAATATTTTACCGATTATTTTGCATTCCAATGTTAATACAAGCGGCTAATAGATCCTCATCATCCTCGTCTCCATCACTAACTTGATCTGTACATAGGTAAAAATTTGTGTTTATTAAATTATTACAACTATTTTTTTAAATAATTTTTGCAAAATTATATTACTTACATCCTGAATCGTTATTGGAAGTTTTTAAACCAGTACTATTGGATGAGAGTTCAATGTCACTCGGTAAATCTTTATTTAGTTTGCAATTATTTGATTTGGACTCTGCAAATTTATATTATTTGTATTGAGGAAAGCCTAAAGTCTAAATTTATATGAAATTTATATGAAATGTTTGAGTTAAATCAAATTATTATCTTAAATTACCTAGACTATTAATTCTAGAGCTAGATTCTCCATCATGATCGTCATTATATTCAGGATTTCCTAATACCATTGAAATTGGCGTCGTTCTTACACTATACAAATATTACAAAAACAATTATATATTAAAAATAATTCTAATTTAATATTTAATAATAAGACTGATAATAAGATATAATAATAATCTTATAATTAAATTTTAATTATATGATGCATTTATTTCATACAAATATAAAATATCGCGATTATTTAGAAAATACAATTACCTTGAATGGCTTTGTATGGTTGTGTCTTCTCGATCGTCTTTGAGATGTTTGTCCAAATCTTCCTCAAGATATGGTAACGAACGATTTGCGCTCTCATCGTCCGTAAGGTGCGTTACGTCTCGTAAATTCAATTCTGTTTCCGATTCGGCAAAGTTATTTAGTTTTGGTACATCCGTCAAGGACAATGCTTTACATTCACCGTGCTCTTCCACATGCCTCGCCTTATATCGCTCCGCTGATTTCTTCGACAAACTCCTTATACGAGTATCGTCTTGCAGATCGGAAGCGGAAGTGGCCCTGGACGAGTTCAAGGATGTTTCGCGCGGCGTTCCCTCTGTATAATAAGTCTTGATCGTGTCCTCGTGTAAAAGTCCTTGATCATTTCCCGAGAAAAAACCAGAGTGTTGTTTCTCATCGTCTATAGTTTGTTCGCCGTAGCGTAGACTGTAGTCAGTTGGTTGATCCAAATCCGTTTCGGCGTAATCACTGAATAAATTATCGTTCGAACTACGAACGATTGTTGTGGGCGATATCGCCTTTTGAATGTTGTTTAGTGCATCGTGTTGATGTAACAGAGCTTTTTCCGCATACACGTTGCCGAAGCTCTCACTTTCTTTCACAGAAGAGACATCGGACAGATAAGAGACCGGCTTTGAATCATTGATGGTCGCTTTCGGGATTGCTCGCCGATAATTTAATTTAGTGCAAACAGTCGCTTCGATATCTTCGGAAACGCTGGACTGGCTACCAGCCTTAGACGAGGATGACACGCTCTGATCAACTAGACACATGTTGTTTTCCATGGAAGAATGCAGTGAGGTTTGAGAAGGTTCTTGATTAGGCGCTGCAGCCCACGATATGGTAGAATTTGTGCATCTCAACTCATTCATATCGAAACTGTCGGATGATCTCAATTGTTCAGGTATTGCATTTTGATAACGCAAAGTGTATTTCCTTTCGGAGGAAGTGGCTCTCATATGACCGTCACTTCCCGCACCGTTGTTGCTGAATCCGATCGCGGAGTGTAGCGATGAGGACTGTTGTTTGATTTGCGAATCGGTTGGCGATATTCCGTTCAGAACGTGGCGATTAACTCGCTCGAACATGGTGTCGGAATGCGTGCTCGTTACAGAACGCATCGAGTCTCTACTCTCGCTTCTGGCAACTCCATTGCATTTTCCGGTGGATGTGCTGGGCTGACTGTGCAACTGATAGGACCGCAGGCCGTGAGCGTTGATACCCAGAAAGCTATGATCAAGTTTGAACGTGAACTTGTCGTCTTTATTGGTTGGTGATGTGCTCGGCTCAATATTGTCACATGTCTCAGCCAGATTCTGGTCAATCTCCTGCTCTAAAGCCCGCTGCCTGCGAGCGACCAGACTTGGCAGAGTTGACAATCCAAGTCCGCGAGCGGTAGAGTCCAAATGGACGAGATTATTACAACCTGGTCTGGCACTTAATAAATTCTTCAAAGCAGCGCTAGAGCCCATCGAGATCATCTTGTGCTTGGAATGAACAAGGCTACGCAGCATCGGTACGGCACCCAGGTCCCAAAGAAGACGTTGATCTTGGGGACACCGTGCAGATAGATTCCAAAGTGCTCCGCAAGCATTGCTGACGACTGTTAGGCTGGGCGATCTTAGTTGTTGTAGGAGAACCTGCAGACAGCCTCTTTCTCTCACGATGGCTCGATAGTCCTCTCGTACCGCCACGTGACTTGACACGTTTCTTAGAATACCACCGGCGTTTTCGACTATCGCAAGTGTTTTAGACGGTGCCTTGTAGCTTAACATATCCACAAGAAAAGCTAGCGCGCCGTCTACGGCGCAAATGTCTACCTTGTTCGTGCTACAATGAGCCGACAGATTCCATAAAGCGGACAGAATTGATTTTAGTGTAGATTCCTTACGGCCTTCCATAGCAGCTTTCATCAGACCTGTCACCGCTCCTACTTCCCTGAGAGTCTGCTTGCTGCTGCTATCAGCGCGCCAAGACAGATTCCTCAGGACACTCGCTGTTACTTGTCTTAGATCGTCGCTAGGACTTCTCAGTTGTGAGACCAACGCTTTCATGAATTCCTTAAAGGAACAGAGCAGCGCCTTGTTATTACCATCGCCGAAAGTCAAGTTGGTCAATGCCATTCCTGCGTATCGTCGCAACGTGATGCAGTTCTGATCATCGCTTTCGCTGCCGTGGGCCAAATGATCCATCTCGATAAGTTCTGCAACAGCGTGGAGGCCACCGAGTTGGCACATCGCATGGCGATGAGCCTCGTCGAAAGACAGTTTCATGAGCGCGGCTATCGTCGTCGCGGGGTGTCCTCTCTCGAGATCATTCGCAGGTTGACCCTGTTCCAAGGATATCCTCAGACTCTGACAATAGTCACGCAACTGCTCGAGGAATCGCAGCACTCGCGCCTCCCGACGACCTGCCCTCTCGTCGCTTTTGGCATGTATCACGTTGTGCAAAGCTTGCATGGCTCTATCTCGGGTATCAGGATTTTGCCCGGGCGCATGAATAAGCTGCACCAACAGCGGCAAACAGCCCGATTGTCTCATTACTAAACAGCTATCTATGGAAGTGCTCATAGACAGCAGAGTAGTGCTCATGTCATCCCGGCCGTTCTTCTCAAGCATACCCAGTAAATTATATACTACGTCCACCTTAGCGCCCAGTCGTCGGTGGCCCTGCAACTCCGCAGAGTTGCTTTCGAGACCCGCGGAGTTTGATGAAAAACTCATCACGCTGGCTACATCCTACGTACAGATACAAATTTCATTTCTATTTTCATTTTTCCAGATAACACACAAATGTCTAAAGAATATCCTGATATCTCGGATATCTCTTTAGATAATTCTTCCGTGTTATTTGAGATCTACATATACATAGTCTTTAAGAAGCCAAAACCATCAAATATCCTTTTTATCACATTGAGACGTTACAAAAGTATGATTTTGCGATACCTCGTATGCGTACGAGAGGCGGCACGCGATGCAATACACCGTTATAATCGTTCAACTTACATTGTGCGCGGCGAGTGATGTGCTCTGCTGGGCCGGAAAGCCAATCTGCTGATTAGCCCATACGTCTCTTCTGATGGGCCACGTTCCACGATACAAGGATGGCAACCTATGGGTAGGCAGGGAGGTGCTGTCCTGCTTAGCTTCCTCCTCGCTGCTGCCATCCTCGTTGTAACGTTTACTTCTTCTCAGATAGAACTGTAATGCAGAAAATTTTCCTTCTAGATTTCCGCTCTTATATCACGCACAAGAATACATTCTTGCAGTTTCATTCATGCAATTTTTTATTTCGCAATGATTTTTACATCTTCAGGATTAAAAAAATGATATACAATTATTTTACATGCTAATGTTGGTTTCTTTTGTCATATATATTTATTGTGTGTGTGTGTGTGTGTGTGTGTGTGTACACGCGCGCGCGCACACACACACACACACATCATATAAATATGATTCAGAAAAATATATTGTTTACTGGTTTCGCAAATGTGAAACAATTTGCAATTTTGTTTATTAACATCGTCGTTAAGCTTCACTTAAATGCGCGCGACTCAAACGAGGACACGAGTTTTACATTTGCAAATTATCAATGCTATCCATGTCGGGTAACGTATACGAAAGAAAACGTGCGACATCGTGCTTAGAGCTTGAAATTTTCAACACGTGCGCAAGTGCGGATGAATAGGAAAGCAATGCTGCACGGTCGCATCGCGGAGGGTGACGACTTAAAGGGCCAGACCCAACGAAAGAGAAAGGACGGAGCCGAGGCTACCGAGGCTTAGGGAGAGAGAGGAAATGCGTGTATGTGTGTACGCGGAGACGAAAAACGAGAGAGAGAGAGAGAGAGAGAGAGAGAGAGAGAGAGAGAGAGAGAGAGAGAGAGAGAGAAGAGAATGGTGGAGGACGACAGTGAGACAGAAAGCCGAGGGCTGTAAAATCAATACGGGATACGTTAGTGAAGGTGTACATACTCGTGCGCCACGAGCACAAGGCAATTCGTACGGCAGTGGTTTTCAACCTTTATTCCTTTTACAGAAACTTATTTTCATTAGAAAAAAGGAAAAGAAAACATAAATCACAGAGAGAATTACATTGTAATTTTATGCAATTCTAATTTTTGTATTATTAAAATTATATTCAGAAGAAACATTTGTATGTATAAATAGAAATATTGATAAAATATTAATTCTTGTCGCAAAATATTAATTCTTGAATGTTAATAATCCTATTGTTAATATTGTTACTTCTTGACTAAAGATGTTTCTACATTCAGAATCTTAATTATTTCGTAATTAAAATGCAGATAATCTAATTTTGATAAAATAGATGTCATATTAACTGAGCCTAAATGAAATTTTTTAGCAATTTAAATGAAACAATTTTGTCTTAAGCGCAGTAATGGCATATTGCCAACTATGATATTAATATCGACATAACAAACAATATACCATTCTAGCTATACAATTCGAATTGATCCATAACAAATACTAGCATCGCGTTGCGTCGCAATGACAAGTTCCATCCTTAAAGAACACTCCACCAGCAAATAAATTTCAAAACCACACAACTGCATACAAATATAAATATATTCAGAATATTTTACGCACGTTGTCACGCACAAAAATAAAGAACGCGCTTCAATAATATGTGAAAAAAAACAAAAAAAAAACGCTACCTCGGGACTCGGTGTCGACGAGCGTCGCTCGTCCTCCTCCTTGGCCTCCGGCTCCATGGCATCTTCCTTGCTGGTCTCAGCAACGAGAGGAGGACCCGGGTAGATACGCGGCGGCCTCGGTGCGGCGGCATCGACGGCGGCGGCGCCCTTCGCTGCAGCGCATCTTTGCGTGGTAGCGGCGGCAGCGACGACGGGGTTGAACGACGCTGCTGCGGCGTCGGCGGCCGAGTCCAGCCTGCGCGATGCCAGGGGTGGCGGCGGCGACTGCCGTCCTCTCTGTGCACCCCACGCGCCGGCGACGCCTTCCACCCCAATGC